TTCCCCCCCGCCCCCCCACCCCGCCTACCCCCCACTTGCAGGCTCTCCGCCAGCACGTACCCCATCGTACCCCCCTTCACCACCAACGAGGAAGTGGCGGCCCCCCCCGGGATGTCCATCACCTCCGCCGAGCTCGCGCTGGCCTTCTCCGGCCTCCCGGAGGACGACATGCACTCCGCCGCCGCCGCCGCGCACGCCGCGCACGCCGCAGCCGCCGCAGCCGCCGCAGTAGGCGCCCCGGGCTTCTCGCCCCCGCTTCCCGCCCTCCCTGGCATCGGAACGGAGCACCTCGGGCGAGCCGTTGCGCCAGCAGCCGGAACCCCGGACTCCGGCCCGGCGAAGAAGAGGCGCCGCGGATCGGACGGCAGCGCCACCCCTACCTCCGGCCCCGGCGTGGACGCGTACGAAGCTTCGTCGGCAGCGGCTGCGATGGCGGCGGCGGCGGCTGCTGCGGCTCCGGCCTCGACCGTACAGTACGCGGACCATGCGGCGTACCACGCGGCGCTAAGCTCCGAGATGATGGCGGGCTTGATGCCCTCGATGATGCAGACGATCGGCGAGCTGCCGCCGCCACCGCCGCAGCCAGCGGCGGCACCGCAAGACGATGGGGCGGCGGCGCAGCCGCCGCCGCCGCTGTCTTCGGCTGAGGCTCTGGCGCACGGGTTCGTGCCGGTGCCCATGGTGTCGACGGCGCCGGCGCCGATGGACACCTCCGGGCCGCCACCGCCGATGATGTCCGCGGGACCCCCCCCTGCCGCTTCCGCTGCTCCCCCCGCGGGTGCGGAGGCCATGCTGTCTTCGCCCGAGGCCTTCGTGATGGCGGGCGCGGTGGTCCCGGCGATCGGGAGCAAGTGCGCTGTCGCGGATTGCGCGGCACCGGTGAGTCTTTTTGTTTCTTTTTTGACGCAATGAATCCATCTCTATCCACAGATGATGAGAGTCCAGGATGAGCTAGCAATGAGTGTTTGTTTTTTGCTGGGAGGAGAACAGGTCGTGCGTGCGTGCGTGTGTGTGTGTGTGTGTTTTTTTTCAGTAGCATCGACCGCGCTAACCGGCCGACTAATGAAAATAAGTCATTCTTGTAGCGGGATAACACAACGTGTGTGTGAGGTTTTGGACTTAAGCGGAGGTTGGGGTTTGTCTCCTCTTCTTTCTCGAGTGTTGGTGCGGGCACAAGCAGCGTGGGGCTTTTTGCACCTCCAGCTGCATCCACGGCTCGCGCCATTTTTGAAATGTCGACGCCTGCTGTGGACGGACGGAAGAGGTGGTCGTGCTGTGCTTTCGGTTGTGCGGCTAAAGCTAAAGCCTTCCGACTCCAGGTTTTTTGTTATTGTTGTTACGACGGCGACGTGTGATCCCTAGGGCGTGATTTGGTCATTCGGACCGGACCGTGGTGACGTCGCATCCCAAGTGTGTGCTTGGTGTCAACTTGGAGCTTCGCGACACCATCCCGAACGCGTGATTTTGTGGATTGTAGCTTCGCGACGCCACATCCCAAACGAGCGCAGTGTTGTTATAACGGAGCGTCGTTCGCCTCCTCGAATAGTTGTGTTTTTCGTCCTCATGCACTCGTCTCTTTCCCTTCAATTTCCCCGTCCCCCACCCAACTATTTTATGTCCCGGCGCCTGCCTGCGGGGGGGGGCGCGAAATCAACAGGCTACTTTCGGGCACCCTGGACCGGGCCACGTCCCGACGCATTGCTTGACCCATTGCGAGGAGGGCATGCACAGGCTAGCGGCGGACGCAGACAGAGTTGCTCCCCTCCCGCTGGTTGCGCCGCCCGAAAACGTGAGCAAGCGGAGTCAACACCCGAGTACAAGGGTGGTCGTGTGCGTGTGTGTGTCTTTGTTGTTGGCATCGGCCGTGCTACCCGGCTGACCAATGAAAATACGTCGATCTCAGTACGGTGGAAGACAGAGAATGCTCCCAAAGGCCATGGTGTTTGTGTGTGTTTTCGCCCCATCTGTTCGGGCGCGACTTCATGTGTTCGTTATCTTTGTGACGTGTCACCGGGGTAACGCGTGAGGAAGATGATGCGCGACCATTTTTTTTTTTTTTTATGTCGTGTATGGGTTCAGTGTGGAATACCATGCAGTCAAAGTTCTTCCACGGGGACCTGATGAACATCGAATATGGTTAGGGAGGGCTACCGTCGAGACCCCTTGCTTGGGATGTGTGACGTCGGCTTTTCGTGGCTCTTGATGTGGTACCCATGGTATCTAGGCTTATGTGAGGCTGCGCCTGTTATGCTAGCCGAGACACACCCGTACATGTGGGAACATCCGCTGTTTGTTTCCCATTCAGGAGCTTGTTGCCCACCTCTTTACATGCTGTCAGGAGGAACAGTCGCATAGTTTGTCGACACGTTGATTATGTGAGTTTTTTCGTTGTGGACTCTCTACTTTCCCTTCTGGGCAAGCGTTTTATCCCTTACCTTGCCTACGCTCTTTTTCATCTCGTTCGAAAGTGGTTCGTTTGTCTGCCGCAGGGCACGCGCAGGCGTTTCCCGCTTTTTTATGCCTGCCCATACCCGTGCTCTTTGTCGTCTCGCTTGAACATGGTTCGTTGGTCTACTGCAGGGCACTAGCAGCGTCCCCGCCGCTGAGCCAGTAGAGGCAGCAGCAGCAGCGGCAGCAGCGGAGGCGGAGGCGGCGGTGGCGGTGGCGGCGGCAGCGGCAGAGGCTGCGGCGGCTGCGGCGGCTGCGGCGGCTCCCGTGGCGTCGCTTGAGGCTGCTGCCACCGCCGAGCCCCCACCCGTTCCGATGAAGGTGGAAGAGACGGGGAAGGTCAAGAAGAACAAGAAGAAGGCGCGTTGTTGTTGTTGTTGTTGTTGTTGTGTTGTCCGTCAGTGTCGTTGGAGTTTGTGCCCCGCCCGATCGTAATAGATAGTGTCGCGAGCTCTTTTTTTGCCCCAAGCCAAGCCGCAGAAGGCCCGGCGAAATCTCTTGTTTTTACGTCCCCTACTTTTCCACCCGAGGGCTCACTCCGTTTGTGCACGGCGGAGGCAACCCTACCGTGATCGTGTCAGCTACGCACGACGTGAAGGAAATCAAGTAGAGAGTGGCTGCGGCGGTACGGGTTGTGGTGTGCTGTCCGGTGACCTGTCCTTGCTGGCGGCACCTGTAGTGGGAAGACTTGGCCAATCCCTCTGCCGTCGTTTCACCGCTGTCGTTCCAGCCAGCTCTACATCCCCATCTGTCGGACTCAGCTCTTTTCTAGTGTTAGGACTGGGAATAGGGTTTGTTCCAGCCAGCTCTACATCCTCATCTGTCTCCTCGTGTGTCGGACCCAGCTCTTCTCTAGGGGGCTGTCGCGTTCAGCCTGACACGTGTCGTCGTCGCACACCCGCGTTCCCTCCCGTACCCTTGTCATGCCGACCCACCCACCGGCAATTTGATTTTTTTTTGTTGCGGCTGGCAGGGATCTCTTGTCTGTGTGTGTTTATCAGCTTGTCTGTCTGTCTGTCTGCCTGCTTGTGTGTTTGTGTTCATCAGCTTCTGTCTGTCTGTCTGTTTGTGTGTTTGTGTCTATCAGCCTGTCTTGTCTGTCTGTCTGTCTGTCTGTCTGTCTGTCTGTCTGTCAATCAGTCTGTCCGTCTCTCTTTCCCCCTAATTCTCTCCCTATCTCTATCTGTCTGCCGCTCAAGTACTTCCACCAAAAAAGTACAACAGTACCGCGCTTTTACTCCAGAGATATTGTTTGTATGTGTATGTTTTGCTGGCATCTCTGACCCCCTCCTCCCTTTCCCTCCTCCTTTTCAGGGAACCGCAGCCGCGGGCGAGGGCATCATGCTCTTGGCAGGCGCGGTCGCCAGCCACACCGACCACAACGACGATGATGACGACGACGACGAAGAGGAAGAGGAAGCGGAGGAGGAACAGGCTCCACCCGACGCCGACGCCGCTACTGCCGCCGCTGCTGCAGCGGCAGCCGCAGCCGCAGCCGCAGCCGCAACCGCAACCGCAACAGCAGCACCAGAACCAGCAGCGGCTCCCGCCCCTCCGGCTGTACCCGCCTCCTGAGGGTCTCCGCTGTACAGCCTTGTGTGTGGTATGGCACGCGGGTCGTTCCGGGTGTGTGCGGGATTGGCGCAAAGCGTGCTGCTCGACGAGGGCGGACTGGCCGACCGAAATGTCGGGGTTTTGTGTTGCTGCGGTGGCGTGGTGGCGGCGGCGGCGGCGGCGGCGGCGTGGTTTGCTTCGTTGAAGCGTTGTACCGCGGGGGCAGGACGGGGACAGGCTGACGGAGTCAGCTGGACATCCCGCCCCGCCTCCGGTTGTGTAAGCCCTCAGCAAGGAAAATTTATCGGCGGTGGTTATATCACATTGGGGTTGAGATGTGATTGGCGTCCGTCACCGCCGCCTGGATGGCGATGGGCGCTTTGACTCGTTTCTCTTTCACGTGTTGTTGCGTGGTCGTCTTGTTTTTTTTTTTTTCGTGCAAGGTCTGGACCTCTTTTTCCACTAGATTGTGGTCGGCACGACGCTGGCGACGTTTGCCCGGGCGTGTTGCGCTTGACCCGCGCGTAGAACGTATGAGGGGAGGCATTTATGTCCCCCGGGGGGTTGGAGTGAGGACTAGCAGACACGTGCCGTGTGACATGGTTCATGGTGTCTTTTGTCCCCAAGTCTAGGACACGGGGCTCGACTTTTGCCCGTTCGCCGAAGGCCAGTCCTAATTTTTCTGTATAGCAGTCATCCGCGAGCGTGGCTGTATGTAGCTTGCTGTGTGTTAGCGTTAGCTATGCGGGTGTGCCAAGGAGGACGTATGGGTGGCGGCCCCGTGCGTCAATTGTAAATCTGAGAGTAACACACGTACATCGTAACCTCAGCAAATAGTGGAGGATGCCGCGAATATTTTTCTTTTGTTCTTGTTGAGGGGTGGGTCAACCGACCTTGGTCTTCTGGATGTCTGATTAGTCCCGCGGCTCACCAGTTCCTTTAGTTGATTGAGGTCCTTCGGAGTGATCAAGATTTTGAGTCCCGAGGGCCTGCTGTGCTCCGTGTTTTAGTGGTCATCGAACCTGAGCGACTGCAGCAGGAACCGGTTGCTAGGTTAGGGGTGACTATGTCTGGAAATGGAAACGAGCAGCAGCATAAACGCAGCAGCCGGACGGGGCTTTTCCGGCTTGTTGTTTTTCACTTCTCATTTTTTCGGACGTACGTAGTGAAAAATACGTCGGCTGCAGTACCATCTCTTTCTCTGCTATGCATGGTGGAGTTGTCATCAAAATAATTTGGAACGCTCCGCGGAACGCGCCACCTGTCATGCCGGAAGAAGGAACGCAGAGAGACACCTTCTTCTGCGGGGAGTTTTTTTTAAACTGGAGGGCGGGTGGTTACAGGAGGCGGGCGTAGAATCTGTTGAGACCGGGGTGTCTGTGTTGTGATCCTGTTGAGACTGGAGCCGTCCATGTTCCGATTCTGCCGAGGCTTGTAAGGGGCCTTCCATGTTCTGATCCTGTTGAGACTGGGACCGTCCATTTTCCGATTTCGTTGAGACTGAGGCCATCCATTTTCCGATTCTGTTGAGGAGATCTTGTGGCTGTCGACGTTCCGTTTGTTAGCACGCGAGAGTACGGGCGGTACTTCGAAAGACTCCACTCGGAAGGCTAGGAGAGAGGGGCGCCACACGCACGAAATGGGGCAGTAGAGTTGGTGATATCGCTGATTGGGCGTATCTTTCAGAGGAACGCGTCAATTTCGTATGAGGGGCGGTGGCGTGTCGTTGACCCCCGTGCTATGTATGTATCCTCTTGCCCTGAACCACTGTTTTTCGGCGTGGCCCTTCCTGCCGATGCATGCGTGCGGGGTTCAGGAGAGGTGGGTGCGGTCGGTTGTGGTGCGTTGTTGGCTCGTCCGCATGGTACACATCAAGTTGTAGTTTTTCTCTTGGAAAACTCGGAGGTTTCTTCATGTTTTGGTAACATCACAAGTTTTGTTCAGCTCACTGCTAGCGAAGCATGTGCGCGTCTTTTTTTTTTTTTTTCTTAATATGACACAACGAATCCATCTCTATCATAGAAAAGAGTCTGTTTGTTTGGTGGGTGGCTGCGACGTTGATTTCAGTCCCCGCAGAAAAAGCCTCTAATTAGTCGTTGAGCAGTTTGCAGATTCATTCGTTCATCATATCCTCGGCGGTGTTTTCGTAGGTGCACCGTTTTAATTTCGAGAAAAGTGTGTAGACTACCCTCCTTTGGGTAGGGTTAGTATTGTTGTTGGCCTGTGACCACGGAAGGAAGGCGCCCGCCTCAGTTAGACCGGTACGGATATCAGAAGGGACTGAGCAGAGACCGGAACGTTTTTTTCATGCGAAGACAACAACAACAACCGCTGGTCTGGTGGGATGCGCTCCCTTCTCGTAGCGTGCATCACGGACGACCCCGGAAGAATTTTTTTTTTTTGCTTCATCACTTAAAAGTCAGTGCTCACGCACGCAGCATTTCTGCCGTGAAGGAGCTCCAATCCGCGGTCGCACGAAGCGATTAACGGTTCCTCCCCCTGAGGCCTGAGGTCCCCTACCCACGAAGAGGGTTGTTGCTGTTTCTTTCTCGTCTAGGTCACGAAGTGAGACTGCCATGGCCTTCCCTGCGAGGCTGCTATGCCTTCCCTGCTTCGCCTGCTGCACAACGATTGACACCACAGCAACCAGCCGTTGGAGCGTCGCACTTTCTTCCCGGGCAAGCCTGAAGCAATGCATCAAGAACTTGAGCACGATTTGTTACTGTAACCCGGTGAAAAGAAAACTGCCTCGTACACTAAAAAAACCTACATAACGGCCATTTGTGGCCCGCTAGAGGAAAATTAAGAACCTCAGCCTCGGCCATAACTATTAAATAGAGGTCCTCAGTGCGGGCGTATAAACTGTGTAACTCTGCTGCGTAGTATAATAGTTGAGAAATTCCCTCCAATCGAATGGCTCGACCAGGCGTTCTCTCATCTCGCAACCAACAAGTGAACAGAAAAAAGTAACGGAATGACAGCAAGAAAAAGCGGGGAAAGGAACTCGGGTGCGGTATACCGCCGCCGCACGAGTCAGCAGGTGACAAGCGGCAAGTGGTGGCGTTTCGCCGAATCATTGTGGGGCATGCGGGGGTCATTTCCGAGGCAGTTCTTATGCACCGTGGTGTCTCCGAAGCCCCGTGTGTTTCCATTGGTTTGTTACTGCTGTTTGCGATGTGGAGTCGCCAACAAATAACAAAGAAACAATTTACTGTTTTTTTTTTTTTTTCTTAATATGACACAACGAAACCATCTCTATCATAGAAAAGAGTCTGAGACAGATTAGCAATGGATTCATAGCGTCAGAAAGTACCTGTATGTCTACGATTTCCCAGACAGCATATAGGGACATCTCCCCTGCGGGTAACAGGCTCAACAATTTTGTTGTGGTATTATTAATAGTCCATTTGTTTACTTCCGCATCATCTATTACTACCATGGTTGAAGGAACTGAAGAATCGATCAGCTTCCAAGGGCCCCTCGCGTGACGTTGCCAACCGCTGTGTGTGTCCTTCGAGCGATGCAACCAACCGGAAGCATTATTATGTGCTCTGTGCCACTCTCCCCCCTCCCCCCTCTGACATGCGTTGCCCGGCAGAGGACGTGAGTACGTGGGTGCTTGAGTGATCGGAACGGAAATTAATCCAATTCCACGCGGAATATTAGGCTGATCTGGACGAGAAATGTTCTTTTGCCGTTCGTAACGGCAACGTCCAGATCAGCCTATAGTGCCACAGTGGAGTAAATCCATGGTCACATGGTTCATCATGGCTCGTTGAACCGGTCCAACTGACCCCTCTCGTCCAATCTGGGTCGTCGATGGTCACGATGGGTTTGGTATTATTGTGTTTTTTTTTCATTTCGACTACCCCCCTCTGCCGACACCGAGGAGTTTGGGTAAATCCATCGTCGAAGTAGCTGCTGCCCGTCAAACAATCCCCAACTTGACCTACCCATTACAGTTCTGAAAGGAAGCGAACAACAATCAATCAATGCCAGCCCACCAATTTCAAAGTGGAAAGCAACTCCTTGTACGTACTGCCCCGTCATCTCTCTCGTAGTGTAGTGGTTATCACACCAGCCTTTGAAGCTGGTACCCCGAGTTCGAATCTCGGCGAGAGATTTTTTCATACCTTGCTTCTTTTTTGCTCGGTCACACAGCAACAGAGGGGGTTGAGTGATTGCGTCGGCAATCTTGCAACCTTCTGACGTTACGAGGTGTAGTTACACGGACCGGGATGTAGCTTCGCAGAATAACAATGTGGAAAGTGTTACAACTTTCGTGCGCACGCCAAAATTCGACTTCACGGCCGACGAGGGAAAGGAACCAGCTGAATCCTTCTCGCGATAAAAAACACGGCGAGCACCGCAGATGGAAGGAGTAAAATACCACTCCTGTGCGGCTTTCCGTTCCTCCTGTTTGAGCCCGCCGGATGGTGTGTCAAAAATTGTACCGAAAGGGGTGGTAAGCGGACGTCCAGAATAAATGGCGTAAAATACAAAAAAAAGTCAATTCCCCGATCGCTGATGTCGGAACCGCATGCCTCGTTGGGATCGAGTGCTACAAGGCTAAGCAAAGCAAGCACGGTGGTCTTCAGAATGTACCTCCAGCATATCGAGCTTCAAAACGTCTGGTCGCGCTGATTGGCGATAGAAACGGATAGAGGGAGCCGTTTGTACTCTGCGATTGAGAATCATGACTTTCTCCACACCGCATACTCTCGAAATACGGCGTGCTTGAACCCACACCAACCGAGCCTTTCTCGGAGAAGGACAGCATCTCTTCACGCGAATAGATTGGCCGAAGCATTTGGAGGGGCAGGACGACGACGGCGATGTGATACTCCGCAGCTTGGTCGACAGCTACGACAGTAGCCTCGAGAGCATTGACTTCTTCCCCCGGACTAGCACCGACCGGTCCGTCAAGAGATTTTTCGACGCCGCGGTGCTTGCGTTCACCTTCGCCGGTAAAGTGCATGACTGCGACCGATCTCGACGTTACCCTCGGCCGCCTAAGGGGCTGGAAGAACGGGAGCGACGCCGGAGGTAGCCGGCGGAGGTTGAGGAGGATGACCACCATGAAGGCGAAGAGCAAGGGGTACGTCGGAGGCGACAAGTCGGGCTTTCGCGCCACCACCTCCCAGTGGGAAGAGGAGGGGCAGCTTCGACGAGTTTCGAAAGACAACTCTGCGCTGAGGGAGCAGGAACTAGTCGCCCTCCTTGCCGTGAGGGAGCGCCGAGAGTCCAATGTTGCACCAGAGAGCATCCTCAAACTCGGAGGAGGGCAGCATCTCTTCACGACACTAGATCAACCTAAAACATACCGGCCACCTCGACAGGCGTGCTGTGGTAGATCTCTTCGCGTGAAGAGACGCTTTCCCCCCTCCGAGTTGAGGAAGGCAATCTGGTGCAACAGTGGACTCTCGGCGCGCCTTCATGGCGAGTAGGTCAAACGGCTCCTGCTCCCAAAACACAGATTGTCCGGCGACACGCGGCGAAGCTGCCCCTCCTGCCCCCGGTCGGGAGGTGGCGCGAAAGCCCGAGCTGTCGCCGCCGGCGTACCCGGCGCTCTTTGCGTTCATGGTCACCCTCCTCAACCTCCTCCGGCTACCTTCAGCGCCGTCCCCGTTCTTCCAGCCCCCGAGGTGGCCGGGGAGGACGTCGAGGTCGGTGGCAGTCATCAGCTTTGCCAGCAAAGGTGGAGGCAGGAACGACGCGTCGAAAAGTCTCGTGTCGGTGCTAGTGCGAAGGGAAGAAGGCAAGAGGCACTTCAGGTTCTCGCGGTTACCGTTATGCTTGTCGAGCAAGCCGGGGAGGGTGCCACGTCGTCGTCGTCGTCCCGCCCCACCACTAAAGGCATGCAGGCATGCGTTGGCCAGTATATTCGCGTGAAGAGACGCTGCCTCCCTCCGAGCTGAGGAAGGCTCGATCACGCTCGGTGGAGACGACTTCTTGTCCCTCGCGAAGGAGGACCATGTCACGGGGCCCCGCAAATCATTCGTCTAGGCCCCGCGTGTGTTCAGCCGCGAGGCTCGCTTCGCAATTGGAGACAGCGGCGGCGGAGGTGATGTCAACGACACGAGCCACGGTGGGGGCAACGGCGTCGGCCGGAAAGGAGGCGGTAAAACCGCTGATAATGTACGGTCAGATCAAGGACACCCTTGCCTCCGGCCGCCGGGGTACCAAGGGAAGCGGTGACAGTGGAGCTAGGTCAGACGAGAAAGACGAGACGACCACGACGTGGCACTCCCCAGCTTGCTCGAAAAACACTACCGCAGCCTCGAGAGCCTGAAGGGCCTTGCCTTCTTCCCCCGCACCAGCGCCGGTTGGGTCGGTGCTAGTGCGGGGGAAGAAGGCAAGGCCCTTCAGGCTTTCGAGGCTGCCGTCGTGCTTGTCGAGGAAGCTAGGAAGTGCCACGTCGTTATCGTCGTCCTCCTTGTCTCCCCAAAGGCCACTGTCACCGATACCCTTGGTACCCGCCGGCTGGCGGCAAGGATGTCCTTCATCTGACCGCACACTACTAGCGGTTTACGGCCTCCTTTCCGGCCGACGCCGTTGCCCCCACCGGGGCTCGTGTCGTTGACATCACCTCCGCCGCCGCTGTCTCCAATTGCGAAGCGAGCCTCGCGGCTGAACACACGTGGGGACTGGACGAATGACTTGCGGGGCCCCGTGACATGGTCCTCCTCCACGAGGGACAAGAGGTGGTCCCCACCGAGCGTGATCGAGCCTTCCTCAACTCGCACGGGGGCAGCGTCTCTTCACGCCAATAGATCGACCACAGCACGCCTGTAGTGGTGGGGCGAGGCGGGGCCGGGAAGAAATCTTGGCAGGGCCGCTTGACATGGCCCTCAATAGAGGACGATAATTCGCGCCCCCCCCCCCGAGCGTGATTATCGCGGGCCCCCCGCCGTCTTCCGCGGTGTCGCTGGCCAACTGTCAGTCCCGTTCGGCGATAACGCCCACGCCACTACAAACCCGACGTCCGTGACTGGGGCGCTTGCGGGCGCCGTCCCTGGGGCTACTTGCTGTGGTCGTTGTTGTTGTCGAGCATCTCGCCGCTGCCGTGGGTACCGGCGGGGCGACGACGTCCGTGGCATGCCAAGAGACCCCCATGGGGCAAGGAGTCTCAGGGCCTGATGGCGGGGAGCGAGGTTAGAGGCGTGGTTGTTGAAGTTACGATGAATCTTCCGGGGGAGATGGTTCTGCCCGACCGACCCGTCTCTCACAATAGCAATGCGAAAACGACTGTCCAAGAGGAGATGGTTGATGATTTGGGCTGGTTAATTGGTACCAGTGTCTCTTCAACTATACTTCCTGGCATTGTATTGCTAATTGTTGTTGGAGGTTTTCGAAGAAATATCAATAATCGCACATTCTCGTCCACACCAAGGCACCAAGCCACCATCAAATATGTCGACAACGCCAAGGGAATTCAACCAGAAGCAAACCGTACCACAACTCTTGGCAGCGGTTCGCTCAAACTTACCCTGGAATAGTCCCGCCGCTCTTGCTATCGCTGCAGTCTCACCTCAGCGCAAGGCGGCCGGTCTTATCCTTCTTCTGGAGCCTCCCGTGCATAACCAGTGGACCCTCTGCCGGCGTGGTGACGCATGTGGTATCCACGTTGGTCATATGCAGATCGATGTAGTCTCGATCGCCACACCCCTTGATTCGTTCGTGGGCGCGTGTGTTGATACGGTCCCCGTGGAAATGCAGTGGGAAGAGGAGGGGGAGGGATGTTCGGGTGTATAGTGGGTTCATGGTGGTGTCAGGCTCAGGGCGCTCAAAAATTGAGGATAAGGGGGCGGGATGACGCAAAGAGCGGTATTTAAGCGGGAGGGAGAGGGGTACTGCTCCGAGAAACATGGAGGGGCAGTTCCGAAAAAAAACTAACCATGGTAATATCCATCTGGGAATCGCTTGCACTAGCCTTACACCACACCATCTGTCAAACACAAGGGGGATACGCACGACGACTGTACCGTAGTCACACGAGGAAACAGCCGGGTACAACTGCAACATTTTACAGAGACACGACAACCGCATCAATAATGGCAAGACAACGACGACCGACGACGTGTGTCAACGATAACGAGACGTCATAAAGGCAACAACCGTGTGTGCCGCCATCATGCCTTTCGTGAATGCAATGGAGATGTCACCGAAACGCACACGGTGAGAACGAGTAGCGCGGGCGGAAGATATTTTCTCCTTCTTGACGTATTGTATCGAGAGTGTTGTCGGAGGGGGCGATTACTCTGGTTACACGATTGCTACATAATCGCGCACTTACCCACAGAGTGAGATTTCCTAAAAATAAACGATCGTGCGCGCCACACGCACACTTATCCATGCTTTCAGTCGCCGGACGATAGAGATAACTTTTATTATGTACAATATATCCTCACATTTCCGTGTTGTCCTCGTCGCTTGCCCGGAGTCCGGGACAACACCATTCATTCCTCAAACGGGTTCGATACCTGCCATGCGGTGTGGGCGTGAGACAGACCGAGCGAGAAAGAGCAAGCGAGCTGACAATAGAGAAAAAATAAAAGTACTTACATCAAAACGTAGATATCGTATACCATGGTACACAGCAGCACAGCAGCAGCAGTGGTGCACGTCCCGCTACCGTTCCTTTCTACCTGGCGCAGCTCGCCGGCGGTTGGTTCTCTCTACACCAGGTGTAGTACCGTGTTGACACGAGCTTCTCTGTGGAACGATCCCGCTGCTAAAGCGCTGCTGCTTGCGTTCGCTACTCGGCGTATCTCACACCCTCTCTAGTTGTAGACTTTCATATAAAAAACACATGTAACCTTCTATATACAGCTAGTTCTATGAGAGGTTAGTATCCAACGTCACCCGTTTCCTCTCGCCGATGTATACAAGTCTAGACGAGTACGACAGCGCCGGCCCCGGTGGTAAAATCTACAAGCACGCGAGCCCGGGGGGTCAAACAGGATCTCTGCCGCGGCGCGACTCAGGATGGTCTCTAGAGCTTGGTTTACGTAATCTATAAGCCAAAGGCGCAGTAAGGAGACTACAGTTTGTCTGCAGCACATATCTCTCGTTACATCATCAGAACGCGAGGGGAGTACATGCGTCTCTCACCACTAAATAAGCCCTCTTGACTCCGTTAAATGAAACCCTGTCCCTGTCTGCGAACGTATCCACTATTCAGTTGACGGCTGAATATTCCAGAGTTGTGTGCTGCTGGTTTACAATGAGATGTGAGATGTGGGAGCAAGGAGCTAGGAGCAAGAGCGGGTGAGAGAAGGGGCGAAGGGGAACGTGGGCCGGCGCCGGAGAACCTAAGAAATGCGGCTCTGCGGTTCCGGTTTTCCGATAATCGCTGACGGAATGAGATGATGGTCAACGAGGCTCGGTTTGCCGTGGCGGTGGGCACTGCGGCACACCGTCTCCTGGCGAGGACCTGTGCATGTTGTCAATGGTCAACGGTCAACAGATTGGTTGAGCCGCTGTCGTACCGGTTCGGCATCGGATGCAAAACCAATTGGTTCTCTTTTTCGTAGATGTCACCCTCTTTCGTAGATGCGTATGTACTGTACAGACGTACAGACTTGTATCCTGTTATGTTTGCATGTATGCATGAGCTGTAATCTACCGGTCCGTTCACCCTCACAAACTGAAATCAGGCTCAGCTTGGCTTTGTCGTTCGGGCGAAGGTCGAGCACGGTCCATTGTAGACTAAACTACTGTGGAGCGAGATGGATGTTTATGGGGAAAAAATTTCAGCCTGATCGTTTCAGACTTTTGTCTGGTACAGTAGTATCTGCTGCAGTTCGTGTGTCCTTGTCAGCGGTCGGGTAGTAATGTGTGCATCATAAACAGTTTAAAATGGTCTACGTTGCCGGTGCGTGTAGTGTCGTGTGGGCAACAGCTCTCCCCATACTTCATCCATCGCGGGTATCCTACACTCTTCAATGTTGTGCTTTTTCGCTCGTGTCAGCTGCATGTCCTACTGTAGGCTTGACTCACCTGTATATTGTACAGAAAATTGAGTGTCTGGTAGGGGGCAATGACTCAGCGGCGCACATCTCCGTGACATGAAGGGTGACGTGCACTTCAAGAAATAGTCCATAGTCTAGCAGTGCACCCCACGTGCCACCACACCTCATGTTGTTGGTCCCGAGGCTCGCTTCTCACTTTCTCTTTAGTAACGGAGGGTTGGAAGCCAAGGGACCAACAGGAACCAAACCCCATTGAGCCATTTGGGAAGATTAGCCAGGAACGATACAGAGTGAGTGTAGATGCACCACGTCAGCAAATATTGAACAGCAATCTTGGAGAGAGAGAGAGAAAGAGAGAGAGAGAGAGAGAGAGAGAGAGAGAGAGAGAGAGAGAGAGAGAGAGAGAGAGAGAGAGAGAGAGAGAGGGCGTGAGGGAGGGAGAGGGGGACAGGGGGGAGAACGGAGAACCGCTGCTCGGCCGAAATCTATCTAGCTACCGGGATGGCGTCTCAAGCGGTCGTGTCCTATACACCAACCACCTTAGTTGGCGTCTTTTCGACAAGCGCCCGTACGGCGCACACATTTCCTCCGTGATTTTCCTCCGTGATTGTAACCCTTCTCAAACATGATACGTTTCGTATAGGTTGCGGCGTTCATGGAGGTTCCACCGCATGCTGTAACGGTTGTTTTTCTATCTTTCTTCCTTTCTCCCTTTTCCGGGTCTCGAGATCGCGCGCTGCTTTCGCACGCACATTCTCATTGATCACCCTCTTACCCCGCAGACCTCATCGATCGATTCCTCAACCCCAGGTAAATGCTGGCAGGTGTGTCTCTCGTGCCCCTGTCATATCTCGAGGCGAGAAGCTATGGCAGCGGAAGAATTGCGCGCGTCCCTCTTCCCCTCTGGCAACGGTCGAGCTGTCTGGCGTTGGCTGACAGCATAGTTACCCGACTATTTGCTTCATCTGGAGAAGCCACATCCTTGAGCGTTGAGAACCTCGAACGTGTTTCGCTTAGTTGGTATCCACCCTGAGCGGTGCACAGCTGCACGTCATGTCTTCCGTGCACCGCGCCGTTTTCGTTCTGCTCGTCGGCCCATGAATGATGATTGTGCGAAGGATTTCTCCGAGCACACATGTGCGTCACTCCTTTTCTTCTCCTTGCGATACAACGAACATTCCCCCCGCCGGCCCCGACGACGCGACTTTTCCAGGCCTTGGGAACAACAGCAACATTTCTTTCTGGATCTCCGTCGTACTTCCGGCAATGCGTCGGGCAAGCAGCTGCGAGCGTCCCGACCCGGGTCGCGTACGCCGGGAATGTGACCTTCGCAAGAGTGGAGATCCTAGGGGCGTTGGTACCTGCGTGATGTGCACGGTCTCCGCGGTGTACCGCCGTGTCAGACTTGTCGCAAGTTACTTTTCGTCTTTCGTGTCCTCGTCCTCCGCGCCACAGGTGGGTTTAGTCCTCAGGGAGTTGAGTCAGCCGATATTTGTGTGATTTTTGCATCTCAGATTGTGCCGGTGGCGCACTCATTATTGGGGCTGAACAGACTGCCGGGTGGGGCCCTGCTCGTTGTGCTGTCTGCCAGAAACAGGTCCTATCATATCCTCTCGATAACAAAGAGGCGCGTATTATTGACGAAACCACCAAAAACAACGAAAGCCCCGTCCTTTCGCCGGAGTACACTCCCAACAGCTGAGTTTGGTTCACCTTCCGCTTAACTTCCAGTTGCCGTACAGCCGCTGTCGTTTCGTTCGATTGTCTGCGCCACCGGGACGACACGTCCAGAGCGTCGTTGGGGTGGGCTTGAACCACAACGACATCACACCCACGCGACTGTTATCGGGTGATATTTTTGTATCACGTCTGTATCCGTTAAACAACGCACGGGAAGGAGAGCGAAGAAGGTGGCGGTATGGTGATGAAGGTGCTGAAGAGCGACCGCTACCAGAGCCGGGAGATCGCCGAGGAGGCTCTGCACAACGAGGTCAAGGCGTGTGTCCAGCTCGAGCTTGCCAGCGTGCCGCGGACAGCGATCGTGACGAAGCACACGACCAACCTCAGCAGCACCGCGGGGGGCTATTTCGGCCGCAACGCCATCTTCAAGGCAGACGCCGGACCGTGAGCACAGCCTTTTGACTTGGTTGGCCTAGTTGTCGGGAAAAGACGATGACGACTCCCAGGCTCCGTGGGGATGCGAACTTTGAAACGATTGCAGCGTTCTTGCCCTTCCTTGAAATTTGGAACGATTGACCCTGTTCCTTGTTCTGATCGTTTCCTGCTAACCGTGCGATTTTGTCTAATTCCAGTTTTGGTTCTAAATGTTGTTCCCGTGAAAAGTGGGACGTTCCAATGTCTTGTTTGTACGTACCACAAATTCCCGCAAGCCTGGCCAAATAATATCATTAAAATTTTCCTTGAAGAATATTGAAGAGGAGATGCTGGGGTAGAGGTGCTACAGGCAGAACGGATGTTCGTCAAGACAACAACGACGACAACAACAACAACAACAACAACAACAACAACGACAACGACAACGACAACAACAACAACAACAACAACAACAACAACAACAACAACAACGACAACGACAACAACAACAACAACAACAACAACAACAACAACAACAACAACAACAACAACAACGACAACGACAACAACAACAACAACGACAACAACAACAACAACGACGACGACGACGACGACGACGACGACGACGACGATGGCACTTATTGATCATGTTTCGATAGTTGTTCCCTAACTTAACTTTGTCACGTTCCTGTCTGTCTGAGGAGGGAGGATCACGGCAATGCATGTGGGCACGACAACTGATAGCGAGGAATTTGCTGTCTTGATTGCAATGGCTTCTCAGAAAAGGACATCGGCTTTGCTATAGGTGTAAGCATCCCGCAATTTGAATTTCCCCCACTGTACTGATCATCAACCAGGTTCGACATGTCCCATTTTTCTATCGACCCGGCGCCTGGGACCTCGAGAAAGTTGGACATGTCGATGGCAGACTGGACAGCCTTCGCATACCAGGCAAGCCTTCTCAGGCGGCCTTCTGTACCACCGTGGGTGGAGTAACACCTATGGGGCAGACCCGGCGAACCAAGCATGCGGTTTCAAGTACTCTGTCGACTCAGCTTTACGGATACCACAACAAAGTATCGAGGGGGCGGCTGGTCGCCTAAGAAAGGGGCTTGATGGCCCTCGAGTATAGTACCCATTAGGGACACCGCGGTGTGATGGTGCCTAGGGTTTTTGCGAGTATCGTCGACAGTTGGCAATGGAGAACGCGGTACGCGGATAAAGTAGCATATGAATGTACTCCTGCTGCACGTGCACGCGGCAGCGAACTCATACCAGGCACCCACCTGTCGCGGATCGGCGTTCCATTGCGATATTAATTTCGGTTGGTGCTTCGCACTCTAATTGACGGCAAACCGTACCCCCTTCTACGCGGTCCCTGGCGCAGCACCACCCTACCGCCTGCTTGATTTCTATGTCATCAGGGAACGATCGTCATCATCATAATTTTCATGAGATGTGACGTAGCCGCCAAACAACTGATCTCAGCTCTGCTGCGCCACATACATACTCACCACAGGCAACGATTACCATCGTCAAGATGCACGCCAGGGGGGGTGTCACGCATAACGACATCAAGCCCGCCAACTGGGTGGCGAGACGCAGGGACGACTCGTTCAAGGACAACATGGGGTCGTGCTACGAGTTCACGCTTGTTGACCTCGGCTCTGCGACATTCAATGATGTGAGCGCGGGGTACTTGTCAATACCCCCCCCCCCCCACGAAACTGGGGCCCCCAAAATGGCG